ACTCGAAATGGAAGTAATCCCAACAATTATGGAACAAGAGATTCCTCGAAACCCAACTTTTCTTCGTATAAATCTAGTGTGATCTCATCAAACCTGCTATTCACCCTGGCCCCTTCTCCTTTGATCGGTTAATTCTACTCGGCCTCCTATCCGGATCTCCCCCATGGTCCCTTAGTTCTGTCCCTTATCTTTGTGGTTGACGGATTTCACTCGATTGCAGTGTGCGTTTTACTCCATGCCCTATTTCTCACGGCCTCACTGTCGCCTCACCGAGCAGAGCGCCTAGACTCTGATTCCCATGCTTGCAGATATTAGGCATTGCCTTCACGGGTCGTCTCTTTGATTAAACCCGTGTTACATGAACAAACTGTGCCTGCGCCATCTCAAGTGGATTTCTAGTGCATTTGGACATAATGCCGAATTTCTGTGACGGTTGTGATTACCCATCTGCCTAGTACTCTGACTACCAGGGCCCCAAAGTTGTACTGGTTCTACAGGACCATGAGGGAGACCTGTATAAGAGGCCCGAGTCAGATTAGCCGATCGAAAGAAAAAAGGCCAAGATGAATAGCAGATGTGATGAGGCAACAGTAAATTTGCCAAAAAAGGCACATATTTTGAGGAGTGGAATGTAAACAAGTCAGGAGTTCTGATAGGATGGGAGTTGGATAAAAGGGTAAGGAGTAGATAGATGGGTCAGTACAGAAAGATGAGTCATAGTGTAACCGTTTTCGGCAGAACGTTGATCGAGGGATTGACTTCACTTGTCTCTGACGGGTTTTGGGTTTGGGACGGAGAATGGCAAGATTCACTGATGATGCCGACTACTATGACGGCCGAACGTCTGAGAATGTAGCAAGTCTGCGGTCTGATGCTGGGAATTATGATAAATACTATAGCAGAGGACTTCAGACAAGGTGCGTTCAACTAAGTCGCCCTGATAACAAGACCAAGTTGTCAAAACATGGTCTACCTACTCTACACATCATCTTGGTCATCATATCTTCGATTAAAGTAATTAATCTTTCTATAGAATTTATAAATCGATTTTGCTTTGGGCTTCATTCCATTATAATGTGAAACTAAATTTTTATGTGGAAATAAGATAATGCTCTCCAAAGTGTGCTGCAAAATGACAATGGCATCTTCGTAGGTCAGATGAGGAAATGCGAAATTACACAAAAACAGTTGAGAAAAGTTGAACTTGCATTCTTTATTTTTTATCACTTGTTTATCTTGATTAGGCATTGGAATTCGGAGCTTCATTACTAGTTAAGATGGCCAAGCTCCGTTAGTAAAGCATGCTTGAATTCACCTAGAGTGGAATATACCTTCTAACTAATCCGACAACTTGATTCATTTGTTAAACTCAATTATGTGATGGAACTGCGTCTTGGCAGTATTGAGACAATCGTAAAAACATGTTATTCCAGTCAAAGTTTATCTAAATCTAGAAGATAAGCCACAGCAAAATTGCAAAATAAAGGAATAGATTTGCCCACTTAAATGATTAAAAGTCAAATTATTTCCTCTCAATTTTCCTAATCGTCATCTTCGTTCTCGTCGTCACTGCTACCAATGTCTGGCTGTCTGGTATTATGAATGAAATCTCTAAACAATGATGAGGGAAGAGGTGATTGATAATTCAAATAATCTACTGGACAAACACTGGTCGGCTGTAAGCTTCTGCTATGGATTCTGGTATTTGATGTTTGTTGAGCTTCTAGTTCCCCTGTCAGACGACTTGCGTGTGGCGAAAGAATCGAATCTAGTTCTACATCTGAATTTGTCTCAGTTGCGAGCGACTCGCTTGCTGTGAGTAGCCGTAGTCTCTCCAGAAGACTGGTAGCCCTAGCTTCACCTACAACAGCAGGAATCTCGTCTAAGTTATCTACTCTAGCTTCATCATCATTTAGAGGATAACGAGAACTGACACGAGAAGTGGACGCTACGACATACGAAGATGAGAGAAGAGGTGAAGAAGGATTAGAGATGAAGTTTGACCACCTTAATGGCTGAGCTACAGAGTTAAAACTGGAAAAAGAAAGTGGTGTACGCTGTCTGCGAAGTAAAGAAAAATA